GGTCTGAAAGCACGCGGTGCGCTCTTTTTCCCTTCCACCGGCTTTTATCCCAAATGGGTTTTTACAGCAAGGTTTTTAATGAGGCAACCATTGTTCGTGATAACTTATAGAAATTCAACAGTATCCGAGGCTTCTTTACAATCAACCTCGAATACTGGGGAGCATCACCCTCGGATGTTACGTTTTCAAGGAAAATACTTCGTGTCAACAGGGTCTCGATAGGTAAATTTTGTAAAGGGCCAAACAGTCAAATGAACCTTGTCCATGTAGATTACTCGAGACCAAATGAAAAAACATGTACGCATGAATGATCTATTGAAAGAAGTATTGTTTTCCTTACCTGATGTTCCATGCCTTAGTGAAATTTCTACTTTACAATTTCATACTTATGATCTATTGCGGAAACTGGCTCAAACGCTGATCGCAACTAAATCTCGAACAATCAACCCCGTACTCGGGGACTGCCATCCAAAAATTGACTTTGCTCGAATTATTAAACTTCAAGATTATAAGACCTTAAAAAGGCAACCCTCGTATTTAGGGGCCACGACCATCCCACTCGGGGACTGATGCTTCGATCAAGTTTGAAGTGTAATTGAGAAACAAGCCCAAAGGGCAAATCTCAAGTTAAAGGCTATGACCGAACTAACACGGTTCGGAGACGTCCAAATTCCATAATAAAACAGGCCTTCCAATATTTTCATAAAACCGAATAAAGAAGGCTACCCTCGGCAAAATTACAAAGGTTTCGGTAACATCAACCCTCAAAAACCTCAAGGGGTACCAAATTGTTCGAACTCTCGAACAAGCTTATGCTAAGGTATAACAAAGTAAAGGGTTTCAATAACACTAACCCTCGCAAAATCCTAATGAGTACGGATTTACCTCGTACTAAGGCATAGCAAATTTATATGATTAAAGTTTTTAAGCCGAAAAGGGAAAAAATCCACTCTTTTAAGGCCATATCAGCCCAATCAAGAGCCTAAGGGCCATTATATTTTTTGAGTTCGAGAATACGCCCTCACTCAACTAAAACCTAAGGGTTTTTCTACTTCGAGTTTGAGCAAGTACTCACTCGGTTATAGAGACTATGTTAATCTGACTTCGATCAAGTTGCCTAAGTTTTGGATTCATAAACAAAATTTTCACAAGACATGAAGTGAGTTAAAATTCTCACAAGGTACAAAGTGTATCAAAATTGTCATAAGGTGAAAAGCAAATTGTAATTTTTGCAAGACAAAAGTCGGGATAAGAAAGGAAACGTTTTATAGATATATATGAAAAAATTTACATGGATCGGTCAGGATCCTACACAAAAATCCAAGAAGAGGAGAAATCCTAAGTGCTTAATTTTCCTCGGGAGCTGCGTCTTCGTTATCAGAATCCCATCCACTCGCGCTCCAGAGTCATCATCATCAGAAGAAAGCAACGCTTTAGCTTCGGCCTCGAGTACTTTCGCGTTCTCGATATCGACAGCAAGGTCAAATCCACAAGCATGGATCTCCTCGAGAGTCTCTCTTCGAGATCGGTACTTGGAATGCTTAACAGCCCAATATGATCGAGTCTGAGCGGTGCCAACCACTTCTCTCGCTCGAGCTTGAGCAACTTCAGCATCCAGTATATGGCCACGATCGCCTCCGCTTCAGCCTTTACTCTTTCTACCTCAGATGTGGTCTTTGCAAGATCGACAGCTAACCGAGCCTCGAGCTCCTCAATTTTCTTGGCTCAGGCCAAGCTTTCCTCCTTCATGCTTTGGAGTTGTCATTCGACCGATGACAGTTGAGCTCGAGCAATATCCTTCTCCGAGGCAAGACGGTCCATGTTTTGCTTCCACCCCAAAGTCTCTGCTTCATCATGTTGGCCTCCTCATGGAGTTGCTCGATCTTTCGGCCTTCTGTTGAACCTGCAGGATCAAAGTATTAGTCGTCGTTCCCGAGTTGATACATTGAACTTCTAAGAAAATTCTTCATTACCTGCTCAATCAGGTCGGTCTGCTCTTTGTGAGCTGTGGCTAGTTCAGCTCGGTGGTCCTTGATCTCCTCTTCTTTTTGCCCACTGAGAAGTTTGAGGGCATCTCACTCCTCCATGGGCCTTTTAAGATCGGCCTCACACCGGTTCAGCTCTGCCCGAGATTTAGATAATGCTTCCCGATGAAGCGAGAAGAAAGAAAGGAAATCAGGCAAGAGGAAACAAAGGCAAACGTAATATTGATAAAGGGATCTAAGGCTTACCTGGCTGAGGAGTCGTTGAGCCTCATCGAAGATACTCGATGCATCACCCATATCGGAAGCACATTCGACTCTCGTGAAGCAACCGTGAAAAAGGTCCTCCCCTTCATGGGCCATTCCCACATCAGGGGTCTCTATGGCCTGGGCTTCCTGAATTTGCCCCTCAAAAAATGCGGGGAGGGGCAGCGAATTGTCAACGTCTATTGCCCCAAGCAACTCACTTGGGGCATTCACTTCTTTCGAAGGGCCTCGGAATCGGCCCCTTCAAGCACATCCGCCGATTGCTCATCACGACGGGAGGCATCTTCAGCCTCTGAGGACTCGGGGTCTTTGCTCGGCCCTCAGAGATCTCCTCGATCCAAGGCTGAACCTCTTCGATCATCACTGGCTCAGTGGCCTTGGGGGCCTCGACGCTCCTCTTAGTTCGAGCTACTAGCTCGAAGTCAGCATCTTCATCTTCCTCTTCTTCCTCCCTTAGACGATGAGCTACATCAGCAGGCAGGGCGGCAGTGTCCTTTTTCGACTTGCGAGCCTTGTTCTTCTTGGGCTTTGGAGTATCGGAGGGCGAGACCCTTTTTCTTTTCTTTTGGCTTCGGGATCGGGGGCGAAACCTCTTACTCCCCGGACGGGGGCCTCATGACGACATCTTTCCCAAGGCCTATATGAAAGGAAATCAAGTAAGTATAAGATGGAAACATTTAAAGGCCATCAGATACGTAAAGAAAATGCTTATCGTTATTTTTTGCCTCCCATCGGCCCCTTGCTAAATCGCGCCATGATCGCTCAGCATACAAGGAGGTCGAAGCTAGGGTCCGAACCCAGCTCTCGAGGTCCGGAATAGCACCAGCATCCAAGCGACCGCTACATCACAGAAAAGGATGTCAATGAAAAGAAGTAAAGGAAACAAAATAGTAAATAAAAGCTAAAGGAAGGATCGAACTTACGCTCTATATTCCACTTCTCGGGAAATGGCATCTTCTCGCCCGGAATTAGGTCGAAAGTTTTCACTCGAACGAACCGATCCATCCACCCTCGATCCTTGTCCTCATCTATGCTCGAGAAAAACACCTTGGTGGCCTGATGCTGAAGCTTTATCAACCCACCTTGAAAAAGACGGGGCCTATACAGCCTGATGAGGTGGTCGAGGGTGAACGGCGTCCCTTCTTTTTTGCTCGCAAAAAATTGGAACAAAATGACAATCCTCCAAAAGGAAGGGTGGATCTGGCCTAGGGTTATTTGGCATTGGCGACTGAAGTCGATGATGATGGGATCGACAGGGCCCAACGTGAAAGGATAAGTGTAAACACTTAGAAACCCTTCCACGTAGGTAGTGATATCTTCCTTGGGAGACGGAATCACCACCTCTTTCTTTCGTCTTTCTTGACCTGCTCGAGGTCGCTCTCAGTTATCGAGCACATGTACCTAGACATTGGATCACACCGGCCATGGACAGAAGAAGTTTTCTCGACTTTGAAGTCGGAAGAAAGATCACACCCCATCTCCGGAACGCACTCCTCAGGGCACGGCTCCACCGGTGTTTTGTCGCCGGCCGGCCGCGATGAAGAGGCTTTCTCCTTTTGAGGAACAGTTTTTAATGTCTTCGCCATTTTAGTGTAAAGAAAGAAGAAGAGGATAAGGTTTGGTGTTTTGAGGAAGGGTTGGTAACGGAGCCTAGGAGACTATGCAGAACGGGAAGACTTGAAAGATGTGAAAAGCTTTGAAGATTTGCAAATAGACTTGAAGAACTCAAAGGGATTTTGGAAGATTAGTACAAGAAAAATTCAAAGTAAAGTTTGAGGAAGTGAGAAGAAGACCTATTTAAGGATTCATGGCGACGGTTCAAAGGCACTGGTAGTCGACCGCCAACTGACACTCATTAATGATTTTGGGAACTGTACCAACGGGACGTTTCGGTCTTTCGTCGCTTACGTCACGAGAATGATGTCATGATAGATCGAGGTACAAAATCGAAGGCTTAATTCGTTTCTTCTCATTACATTCCAAGAAACGAGGGGACTATCTGTATACGATTAAAATCGGGCCTACCCGATTGTGCTATTTGATCGAGAACAGGGGACTGTATCGAGTGTTAGCCTCGTAATAGATCAGACCAGAACATGAAGACGAGGTATCAAGTCCAATGATCGAGGTGCTTGTCGAGATCGAGACCAACAGCGATCGAGGCCAAATATGACAGACTTCAAGCAAAGCGCGATAACGGAAAAGCGAGATATCCGTTACCAGCCGGAGATCATGGCGTAAATCTCGGAACAGATCAAATCAGGGGCGATTATCTTGGTAATCATGGGATTTACTTCCGGAATTAGAATTGTACCATAAATAGGATTCCTCTACTATATAAAGGGGATCCTAATCATCTTGTAAACACCTTACATTCGCGCAGATCAAAGCAATACAATATTCTCTCTTTAATTTATATTCCCTTGTTTATCAGTTTGTTGCATTTTAACTGTACTTGCATAACTAGCTCGAGGGTATTCGAGCTCGGGGGCTAAGCTCTGTTCAAACACTGGTTCGCCTCATATTATTATTAATTTCTATTATTACTTTTGCATTTGTTAATTAGTACTAGGTGAAATCTCGTATCTTAAAACCACATTATAAGTTTAATTGTTATCAGGATTTTAGGATAAACAACTTTTGAAAAAAAACACTTATCAAAATAAGCTCATTTCTCTAGCTTGGCTAAACAGGCTATTATAAATGGCATTGTATTATATTAGGACTTATATATCACATTCTCTTATTGCGACCGGTCTTCTTTTGCGTTTTGAGGTACGGAAGGAACCACGTCAGAATCGCACACAAAAGTAAACGTAATGAATCTGAAGGGATGAAGAGCAAAGGGTAGAAGCCATGACTCTGCTCCAGCTTCCCCATCCTTCATCCTCCACTTTCATAACCCTCCCAAAGTTTTCTCCCAGTCGAAGTATACTCAATCCCTTTGCGCGCCACAAAGCTTCATGGCAGGAGGTCTGTGTTTTTTGTTGTTTTTTGCTTCTTCTGGTTGTAAATAGCTAACCCGTTTTATTGAATTGAAGCTCGCCGGCGTTTTGGTATTCTCAGCGATTCCATTCACCGCCGTCAAAGCTATCGCCAACAGTACCTTCGGCGAAACACTCCGTAAACGCTTGGAAGAGAAAAAGAAGGCAGCAGTAGAGAATTCCGCAAAGTTCAGGGCACTTGCACAAATGGCGAGAAACGATAGGTAATCATCCTATCCCTATGTCGTGGTAAGCCATGCCCCTTTTTTTTCTACCCTCTTACATTTTACTGTATGTACTTATTTTGCCAAGAGTTATTTCCTGCTGGAAGTGAATTATCAACTGTATTAAAAGCATAGTACAATATGGTGGAGAAAACCATGAAAAGGAAGATGCAGACTTTCTTAAATGTGACAGTAGTACATTTACTGCGTTCAGCCGTGTACTTTTCAAGACTATGATAACCAGTCTTTTGTTAGATTATACTGTATAAATCTCTCTGCCCATGCTTAGAATTTTTTGTCTGCCTACATTAGATACATATCCACTTTGTTTTTACAACTGCAAGGAATTCACTAACCTGTAAATCTATTATCTCTACTTTGCAGTATCTGGTATGGAGAAGATCGCCCCCGCTGGCTTGGTCCAATTTCTTATGACTACCCTGCTTATCTTACCGGGGAGCTACCGGGGGACTATGCATTTGACATCTGGGGGTTGAGCAAGGATCCCATGGCCCTCCAGAAGTACTTTAAGTATGGAATTAGCCTTTTGCTTCTATTAGTTGGTTCGGAATTGCTTTTGTTTCGAGTAGATACCGATGATACAGTGTTTTTATCAACAAGAGCAGCAGCATATTTCATAAGTTGAATTTTGACTTTTTACTCTTAGCTTCCCATTAAAGAAATGAACATTGTCAGTGCTTTCGATAAGCTATTAAGAAATATCCATGATAGTTAGCGATTAGGTGATTGGTAAAATTTCCTACCCTCTTTTAGTGGAAATAAAGTAGACATGTTTCTTGAGAAAAAGTTGTAGCCAAAACATGTTAGAGATTGTTATTTGTGGGGAAGGGGCAAAAGAGTTGCAAAATTTGTACGTGATAAGGATTTAGGGCCATGCATAGACATGAAAGTTGTCTACTTCCATACATGTTTGAGATGAGAGATTGAATATTTTCCAGCGTGGATGTTTAGCAGAGTTCTCGATTTATAACCTTTTGGCATTCTCGAAATATCAATAACACACACTCACACAAACTATTCTTGTTCAGTAACCATGGAGAAGCTCAGTTAAATTGCTCTTGGAACTTATTTCAGTTGTCATGGTTGCTTCACAGTTACGAATTATTACACGCCCGGTGGGCTATGCTGGCTGCTCTTGGTGCTTTGATTCCTGAACTGTTAAACCTGACAGGACTCTTTCAGTTTGTGGAACCTGTTTGGTGGCGTGTGGGATATTCAAAGCTTAAGGTTGGTATCTTGTATGTATCTGCTGTTGCTAGACTTCCCTAGGTTAACAGGTGATGCTATCATTAGCTATTATTAAGAGTCCCGATACCCCCATGATTAAGCTTTGGCCTGCTAAATTAAGGACCAAATGATCACCCTTTCTCCTACAAACAATTTGCTAAAGTGTGATGCAAAGTATAATTCTGGTAGTTGTAACATATTTTACACAATGTTTAGAGATGAAACAGTTGTTAGACTCTTTACTTGTCTTTTTCTCCAAATAGTCTAAAGTTTCCTTTAGTTTTGATGTACTCAAATGGTCCAAACCAAATTTCTCTTTACAAGTTTGGGTACACTTCTTGCTACTTATCATGCACTTTTTATTTTGACTGCTGAAAGGATAAACCATCTTTCTTCTGCTGGGGGCTTATGGTGGTATCTTTCATTTAACGCAATGATTTAGTTGGTAGCTTAAAGTTTTTAGCTCAATTAGCAGCCACTGCTGACTTCTTCATAGGAAGCGTATATAAGCAGTTTTCCTGAGGCTCAGATCTATAAATACAGATAGCCTTTTAATGGAAATGTTCAAATAGAGCGGCACTAATATAGAGGATTCATACAGTCGACCCCTTGGTGTGTGTGTTTGTAGGGGGGGGGGACAATATATGTATTGGTAAAAAATAGAGAAGGGATGAAGGTTAAAAACTTGCTTAGTGTGTAAGTAAGATGGAAAAGAAGACGGTAGGTTAAAAGAGGAAGTAGCTGCAGCAGTCGCGAGAATAATATGGAGGAGAAGGAAGAAGATAAGAGAGCGGAGATGATATTAGAGAAGGATAGCAAAGCAAGGAACTGAAAGAGGTGGAGGAGGAGAAAAGAATAAGGTTTGTCATATAAAAGTATAAGTGGCTGGAAGCAGCAGTACGGAACTAAAAGGGGAAAGGAGCAGAGCAGAGAAAGGAGAGAGATGGACATAATAGTGAAATATGGGAGTGGAAAGCAATGGCAGGTATCTGGTGGTGTCTCTAAGTGTAGAAATAGCAAAAGGAATTCAAGGAAGAGAATGTTCGCCAAGTCAGAGAAAGAAGGGGAATTTAGAAAGATTTGAGCTAGTGAATTACAAGGAGGAATAAAAAAGAAGAAGCGGTAGTTGAAAGAATAATGGGAAGGGTGCGTGAAGTAGAGAAGAGGAGGAGAGGATGAAGAATTTCATTAGCAGCTAGGGAAATGGGAAAACAGGAGAATAGGTGAGGAGAAGAGTCTGAAGGAAGGAGATGAGGAGTACCAGAAAAAAGGAAAGTGATAACTGAAGGCACTAAGTTCCTTAAAAGTTAACCTATTGAATCTACAGTTTATATATATCACAGAAGTAGCAAAACTATACTGGGATTTTCCATTGTAAAAATACTATAACAAAGAATTAGATTGTGGTTGTGTCTAGACTTGTATTAGGTGTGACATACTAGGACCAAACTCCCTCCCCAGTTAAAGGACCTTTGTATATCGTCCCAAACAACTCATGTCTAATGTGCAAGTAGGTGAGAATCAGATGACCAGACAATGATATAATCATGCAACAAGTAAGATAACAACTAGAGTAACATATTCCAAAAGCATCTTAATGTCTTCCCAACTATTTGTATGGAATGGTTTTGTTTTATGATGAGCCAAAGGTCCACTGGAGATTGCTATTCTTGGCAAAATTATTATTCAACGCTTCCTTGTTCTGGGTTATGAGTAACATAATTTAAAGAGATCTCACAGGAGTTTTGTTCTAGCAAGTATAGAAAATTTCACTTTATAATTCTGTTCAAGTTCTAGGAATTTAGTGGTTAACATGCAAGTACTCATTGATATGTATCATCCACCTTCATATAAGTTGGCATTTGGCAAACTTTGAGGTGTCTGTTTTGTGCCTTAAGCATGGACAAACTTTTGTTAATCTAATTTGTGCATATCATTGTTTTGTACTGAGATATATCCGTGGGACTGGGACCTGATTCTGGTGATTGCTCGCTATTTTATCAAATATCCGTTGGATTATTGAACCCCTAATGACCTGATGAATTCAGTATCCAGAACTTATGGCGTGTGCCTTTTCTCTTATTTACTGCTCCCCATCTTTTTCCAGGGAGATACACTTGACTACCTAGGGATCCCTGGACTCCATTTAGCTGGAAGTCAAGGAGTCATTGTCATAGCCATTTGCCAAGCCCTTTTGATGGTGAGTATAAATACTTGCTCTGTGTGTATCTTTCTAGTAACAATTTTGATGCCTAATGCTTATCAGTGGCGTTCTCAATTTACTGCACTGCAAGTCCGCAACTGGCTGCCAGGAATAGAAGTTCGGTTTAGATAATTCTGTTGATTCATGAAAACCTTTTAATACGCATGATACTCCAGTCTAAGGTAATTTTCCTAATTTCTGTTTCGATTGTTCCAAAATCGTTTCCTCTTCTTGAGGTGGACTCCCTACAATGCTTTTGCTACAACTTATTTATTTAAAAAGTAATATGGGATTTGCTTTTAAACTAAATCAGTTAAACTCCTCTAAGGGTTAGTTCGAAATCAACTTTTTAAAGGTCTACTTCAAGTTATATACAGTAATTACTTCTGACCTCAAGTGCTCCGTCTAGTAAAAGCAGGATACTTGGAAATGGGACACATCCCAGACCCTCCTTGTGGGATTTCGCTGGTTTTTTTTGTTGTTGTGTTTTTGTTGGATATGGGACACAAAGAGTAGTTAATTGTGTGCACAACTCCATCGGAAGTCTTTATCCACGTGAAACTTTGCCCAATTTTATCTACCAAGGCATATGCCACACAAGATTTTATCAAACCCTAAGTGAGGAAGAATGATAGAGATCGGCCTCAATGCAATAATTAGCGGTTTCTGGTGGTTGAACCTTTCTATATCTCTGATAGTTGAAGTTTATAGACTCTTATCTGGCAAGGGGTATCGGTGGAGTCTTATTTTCTTTTCAATATCTATTTGCTGGTTGCCTAGGTTCATTTTTTAAACTTTGATGTAATCTCTTGGCTCCTTTTATCCTTCTTTAGGCCATTGGTCAATATTTGTTTTGAACTATAGTGTTTCAGATTACCTCGAAGATCCTGCTTCACATTGCTAGACCCAGCTTTGTGATGAAAGTTTTAGTGGAAAAAAAGGTTTTCTGGTTATCTTAATTCTTCATGTCAAAGGTGCAGTCTGTTTTGCAATGCACTCAATGTGTTAAAAGGTAGGCATTTTGCTGTCAAGGAGATGATTGAGAGTACAGTGAATCTATGAGCCGAAGGTAATCTGAGCTTTTGGCTCATGTTACTATTCTCCAAGATTAAGATATCAACCCTATAGATCAAGCTCTTTCTAGAAAGGGAAGTACAATATAGCTTTATGTTCAAATTTCATTCATACAGCTGATACTTGATTGGTTAAAATGATTGATGAATTGCTGCTTTCATCTGCCATATTTGTCATGATAATTTAATTGTGCCAGTCTCAACCAATGCAGCTGGTTGAGAGAGTGAAGATTCTGTTGCAAACTTTTAATGCTGCGTTGACATAAAGGAGAAATGTTGATCTTAAGTTCCAATTGAATATGTCTCTGTTTTTGCAATCAAGGAACAATTTGCTACTTATTTCCCTTAAAATCCTAGACTCCTAGTGCCTGATGACATATTGGATACTTACATGTTTGCCATAGCTGGTGAACATGTTGAAACAATTTTCATGGAGATAATCCCACGCCTAGGGAAGAATTTAAAGGACAAAAAATTTCCTATATAAGAAGAAACCACTATCTGTAGGAAGTGGACTTGAGAAGTGTGGCTTTTTTCACATTACTAATGGGGAATGTGACTTGACTTTCTTCTTGCCTTGTAATTGCCTGTTCTTTTCATACTTTTTGGGTGCATAGGTTGGACCAGAATATGCAAGATATTGTGGGATTGAGGCTTTGGAACCCCTAGGGATTTACCTGCCTGGTGATATCAATTATCCTGGAGGTGTTCTTTTTGATCCACTGAATCTCTCTGAAGATCCAATGGCTTTTGAAGAGCTAAAGGTGAAAGAAATAAAAAATGGTCGCCTTGCTATGGTTGCCTGGTTAGGCTTTTATGTCCAAGCGGCTCTTACAGGTAAAGGCCCCGTGCAAAACCTTCTGGAGCATATTTCAGATCCATTTCACAATAACTTGCTCTCTCTTCTAAAGTCTCTGTAGATATTTTAGAGTTCACTTACCCAAGTTGACTGCCAGCTATATTTGTTTTGTCTTATTTGTATTGTAACACTGTAATACATGAGCTCCCTAGTTTATCTAAACTATCTTCTAAAAATAACATCGTACATTGAAAAGGTAAAAACATTTTGCACCAGAAGAGTATTCGAGGTTGTCTGTATCCAGCACAATTAACCTTATATGATCTTGTTTGTAATGGGGTGTAGAAAAGACTCAAGTTCTGGAATTAACCATATAGCTTCTGTTTATGATGTGATGTAAATGATAGGGAAGAAAATATACTTCTTTTACATGTGTGGCACGCATCCTTTTTTGTAATATGTAGAAATTTGCTCATTCTGTATCACTTGAAAGTTTCAATAAGTTAACTTACTAAACAATTTAATGAATTATTGTTTTCAAGTCCTTTAAGAAGAATATTAAGGAATTTTTAATTAGCATTTTTCCCACTTTCTTGAGAGTGAAAGAAAATGGGAAAGGGGGAAGGGGTTTGGAAATATTAGTTGGGAGATAAGGGGGCTCCCTATGCATCCTTCATGCAATCCTTCTTCTGCTAGTGCTTCTCCTTCCTCTCCCGATGTTCTGAACCAGAGCTTCTCCGACGCCTTCTCCTAATCCTTCAATAAGACCTCCAATAAATTCAATAAAAACTTGAGAAGCAAGACGAGCAGCAGTCCCAAGCACATTGGGCTTTTCAGGAGGCTTGATTCCATATTCTTGGAGGCCGTTGATCATGGATTTAGCACACATTGCATGAAGATGGTAGTCACAGACTGTGCAGCTGTACACTCGACCTGATGATCTTTTCTTCTTGCATGCACTGCAGACCATTCCTGATTGATCATTACCACCTGATAAAGCATTTCCTGGTGGTAAGACTTTAAGTGGGTGTGGGTGAATGGGAAGTTTAACCTCGGTGGAAAGCATGGCACAACAGGGATGCATTTGGAAATTGCAGGAGTTGACTCTGCATCTAAATGTGAACCCTTTGGTGGATTTGCCGCAGACATCACACCTTGGCCACGTTATTCCAGCTTTAACTGATTTGTTTAGGAAAAGAAGATATGGAATTCTGGGGATGAGAAAAGTATACCAAAGAATATATATAACGCATTTAAGCTTGTAGAAGCATATATCTTAACAAAAAATGTACCATTTTGTTCAGGAAACATGTGTACCTTGTTTAGGTTTAGCATGGAAGACGAGTTGGTGTTGGCCATGGAAAGGATGAGCCTTAAGAGAGGGTGGAGATAAGGCACAAAAGTGATGAAGCTGAAAATCACAATCTTGGCATGCATACCTACGGCCAGCGCCAAACTCCCTGCAACCGGAGCAAGTAAATAGTTCCGAGAGAGTAATCTCAGCAAGTGGGTGCTTTGAGTGAGTATGATGAACAATGGTTCCATTGTGATTAGCATGAATCCCGTCGTGATCATCAGGTGGCTGGGGCGATGTTGGGAACTCTATGTAGGTTGGAGTGGGAGATGGCTGGTTACCACCCTTGGTCTTTGCAGCCGAGGAATGAGCAGAGGCAGCTGAGAGTGGAGCTTGTGTCAACGAGAACGAAGAGGTATTATTGAATCTTTTCATTGCTACTAGAGATGTCCCTGATCCCCTCAGGGGCTTTATGTTGTTGTTCTTCATCATGTTTTTGTTTGGTTCCAAAAGTGAAATTCTGAAGAACCTTAAGAGTTGAGTGTGAGCTAGCTCATATATTTATGCTTGGTCGGATGCCTGGCTACAGAGAATTTCTCTTGGCTTATCAAGTTAAATTAGTCGTGGATACAGTAGGTTGATTGACAACGTAAAAATAATCTAATTACGACGAATCATTTTTGAATGAATAGATATAGATGAATCATAAAGTTGATACAACTAATTGGAATTGAGGCATAAGGATTGATTTATGAGGTGAAACCAAAATGAAGCAATTACATTTGGTCGATAAAGTCAAAGATTAGCTTTTAAGGATTTCTTTGGTAGTGGACAAGTTTGAATTTTGAGGGAAAATGAGGCCCCTCTACCTAGTCCCTTTTATTCTCTGCAACAACAGGAGCAATATTTTCCAATCAAGCCTGTCTTTTTTTTTCTTCCTTTTTCTGTCTTTCTTACTACACCAGTAGACAACAAGAGCCATGGCACGAATCAAAATCCTTTCTGGGAAGATACTTATTCTGGTATAAAGTAGAGGTGTTGAAAATGTAAATAAAGCTGCCTTCTGAATTTTCTTTCGGGGAATTGCTTAAAAGAGGTGGCCACGTTCAACAAGGGGATTTCATTTATATTGTAGATTAGAGATCAAGATTTCTATCTTATTCTAATTTGCATAAAAGCTAAAAACTATTATTGTAGATGGTAGATTTTAGCGGTCTTTTCCTCTGTTGTCGAATCTATAATTCTATATGATCAATAATTTATTGTAGTTGGTTGGACTTTGTGTTCCCTATGACACCCAATTATTGCTAATTCCATTCCGGATGCTTCATAATACTGCTATTTTCTCATACGTAGATTCCAATCACAAACTAACAACATATATCGTTTTTCTTTATTTTCCTTTTTAGTTACTTGATTTGAAGGTAATATATGACATTTAATTATGTCGTATGTACTTCCAATATATCTGCATAATGTAACTGTAACGATCAGGAATTTCAATATTAGTCTTTTCAAAGTTGTATTATTCGCAATTTATCCCTCTTTCTTCCATTGTTGATTGTCATCTCTCATTCCCACTTTGGTTACGTAATTGTGTCATTTGGTTCTCAAATATGTAAATGCCCAAGGGCCAAAACTGTCGATCATTATCTCCCTTTAATGTCGTACCAGCTACCCCCCCCCCCCACCCCCACCCCTCATCACACACAAAAAAAGACTATTGTATGTGTAATTTATCTTTTTTCTTATCCAGCTGTTTTTCTAGTCCCTACATTAATTTAGTACGAAGTCTAAAATATTGTAATTAACTTTTTGTTGTATTAGTAGTAGTAGTAGACGAAACTATAAAATTGTTCATACAAACTAGCTTGAGAAGGAAACAGCACTGTTCAAATTCATCCCAATCAGTTGAAATTGATAAGAGAATAAGCAAATAAGGAAGAAGGAGAGAGTGCCGAACAGTTTTCTCTCATTATCAAATGAATAGAATGCCTAATCAGTAAGCTATACAAGTATATTATATACTAACTCTAGCTGCTATATTTAAGTTAATGGACAGTTGTCAACTAACTAATACCAGCTGTCAACTAAGGCACTAAGGCACAGTAATGCATGTTACTAACTCCTCTACACCCTCCCTCAAGCTAGGTGAAATGAAGATGTTCTTCATTCCTAGCTTGGACACCAAGTAAGAATGTTGCGCCTTTGTAAGACCTTTAGTAAGCACATCGGCTTGTTGCTCAGCAGAGGAAAGGTAAAGAGTAGCCACCAAACCTTGCTGCACTTTCTCCCGAATAAAGTGACAGTCAATGTCGATATGCTTAGTGCGCTCATGGAAAACAAGATTAGCAGCTATTTGAATGGCAGACTTGTTGTCACAAAATAGAGACACAGGGAGTTGAAAATCAACAGACTATTCCTTGAAAGCCAATGATCCAAACAATCTCAGCCACCGTAGAAGCGAGACTCCTATACTTTGCTTCAGCAGAGCTTCGAGAAATAGTTGTCTGTTTCTTGGAATTTCAAGAAATCAGGGAGTCACCAAACTTCAAATGTAACCAGTGATAGACCTCCTTGTGTTGGGACAAGAGGCCCAATCAGCATCGCAATATGCAACCAACTTATTAGAACCAGTCGCAGACAAGAAAATACCAAGACCAGGCTCTCGTTTGACATATCTCACGATTCTGTGAGCTGCCTCCATGTGAGACACCTTAGGAACCTGTATGAATTGACTCAGACATTGCGCAGCAAAAGCAATGTTTGGTCGAGTAATGGTCAAGTGGAGAAGCCTGCCAATTAATCTGTAATAACTGGAAGGATCGAGCAGAAGACAATCAGCTGATTGACCGTAGTGTTGATCGTATTCAGCAGAAATAAGCTTGACATTTATATCTATGGGTGCACCAAGAGGCTTAGAACCAGTCAGCCCCATGTCTGAAATAAGCTCTAAAGCATATTTCCTCTGATGCATCACAATACCAGTCTTGTTTCTAGCGAACTCAATACCTAAGAAGTATCTGAGTTCCCCCAGATCTTTAATCTTGAAATGTTGCTGCAAAGCATCCTTGGTCTCTTGAATTAGCTGAGCATCATCTCCAGTTATAAGGAGATCATCGACATAGATCAGAACAACCACCATCTTGCCAGCAACCTTCTTAGTGAGCAAGGAATAATCGAAATGACTTTGAGAAAACCCTGAAGAAATCAATGCAGTAGTCAACTTAATGTTCCATTGTCTAGAGTCTTGCTTAAGTCCATAGAGAGACTTATGCAGCCTACAAACAGAATGTTTCCCTAAGGGAGCAAAACCTTGAGGGAGCTCCATATAAACTTCTTCATGTAGGTCGCCATGTAAGAAAGCATTAAAAACATCCATCTGATGTATGATCCATCCCTTAGAGGCAACCAAGGAAATCACAGATCTTACAGTAACCATCTTCACCACGGGTGAGAATGTCTCTTGATAATCGATACCCTCTTTTTAGTTGTATCCCTTTGCCACTAATCGTGCCTTGAACCTCTCAATTTTACCAGAGGCTTGAAACTTGATTTTATACACCTATTTACACCCTATGGCCTTCTTACCTTTGGGAAGAGGCACCATTTCCCAAGTTTTATTGGCCTCCAATGCCTGTATTTCAGCTTTCATGGCATCTCTCCATCTACTATCTTTAGTAGCTTCATGATAATTTTTGGGTTCCACCTCAATGGAAGATTTGGCAATATAGCTTTGATAAGAGGTAGACAGACCAGTGTAGTATAGCACAAAGGAAATAGGGTAGAGACAAGTATTAGTAGTAGGGCGACCATTATCTGGTCGGACGAAATCCTTGAGCCAAATAGGGGGTCTACTAGTTCTGTCCGATCTTCTCAAACTAGGAAATGGTATGTCTTCGTAAGCTGGTGCAATAGCTCCCTGGTCGGCATTAGAAGATGGTGGTGGTTCACCTGCAGTTGAGATTGCATCTGACATCGCCTCTCGAGACTGTGGAGGTTCTTCTGCTGTTGTAACTATAGCCGGCAGCACTTCTGGAACATCCTGGGTGTTCTGAACTGGAAATAAATTAAGAGGTTGGCCATCAGATAAATGCTTCTGAACAGGACATTGCATCTGTTGAATACCCGACATCATTTGAAAAGGATACATATCTTCCTAAAACACAACATCCCTACTTAAAAATATAGTTTTGTTCACCAAATCTAACAACTTGTATCCCTTTTGAGCAGCCACATAACCCAGCACAACAACCTTAATGGCCCTTGGAGCAAATTTGTCTCTTCTAGTCAAGCTAGTAGCATAACATAGACATCCAATAACCCTCATATGCGAAAGATTAGGTGGCTTCCTGAATAAGGCCTCATATGGTGAAAATTTCCAAAACTGTGGAAGGTATCCTGTTAATCACATAAACGGCATCTTCGATACAAATACCCCAAAACCTGATAGGTAAATGACTCTGAAACTTGATAGCCCTGGCAGTTTCTAAAATATGTCTATGCCTCCTCTCCACTACTCCATTTTGTTGTGGAGTATATGGACAAGAACTCTGATGTACGATACCAAACCTGTTGAATAACTCAGTGCAATGGCTATTAGAAAACTCTGTCCCACTGTCCGGTCTAAATGACTTAACAGCTTTGCCAAATTGAGTGGAAACCATGACGATAAAATCCTTAAGCACAGTAACAACATCAGATTTTAGATTCAACAAGAAAACCCAAGTATATTTGGAAAAATCATCTACAACCGTAAGAAAATATCCCATTCCATTATAAGTGGGGAGCTTGTAAGGACCCCAAACATCCATGTGCAACAATTGAAAAGAGTTAGCTGTTCAACTACGACTAACAAGAAATGGTGCTCTAGTTTGTCTAGCTAGTGGGCAAATAGCACAATGGTGTGATATAAAGCTAGACTTATTCCCAAGCATGGAAATCTTCCTAAGAACTGGCATAGGTACATGACCCAATCTCTTATGATACTTCAGTTGTTGCAGCCAAAGACTTGATAAGACTCCTGGCATCTTGTCGTTTCCTTTGTGACTTCAGCGCGTACAAGCCATCCTCCTCTCTACCAATCCCCTTCACCTTCCCAGTGAAGAGATCCTGAAAGAGAAAGAAATGAGGGGAAAATGTGGCATAGCAACTCAGTTCCTTAGTCAGCTTTGATACTGACAAAAGATTAAATCTAAAGTCCGGTACATATAACACATGACTTATCACATCACCTCCAGGCAACTCACAATTACCAACTTGTGTTATCTCAGTTGAATCTCCATTTGGAAGTTGTACCTTTCCTGAATTTCCTACTAATCCATCATTATTCAATAAAGATGCATCATGTATCATGTGATTTGTCGCTCCGGAATCAACTATCTATTTAGAAACATCTACAGAGGAAGACAGTGGTTTACCTGCCATGTTAGCAGTAGCCTCACTAATGGAAGATTTACCCAACATGCTCAAAATTTGATTGTATTGATCTTGTGTGATGACTGGAGCTGTAGTCAGGTTAAGTTCTTGTTGCACATTAAGACCTCTCAGCACATTGTCACCTCCTTCTAATGGAGTGAGACATGTAGTCACTAAATTCGCCTTCTTCTTCCCTTTGAAATCAGCTGGATACCCTATAATTTTGTAACAGTTTTCTTTCAAGTGCCCTTTCATGCGACAGTGCTCCCAAAACATCAACTTAAAGCAGCTTGTTCTTGTGTGACCTTTCATATTGCAATGGTCACAATATAGGTTTTTTTTTCCTGATTCTGTCCTCCATTTCTAGCAGCAATTGTGTTTTGGGATCAACTTTGTCCGTCAAAATATAAGTGCACAAGCCACTTTGTAATAACTCTATTACAATGACTTTACAACTCGACTAACTCTAGCCAAGACACAAACACATGGGTTTATGATTTACAAAGAGTTTCCTACACAATGCTTCTAAGTAAGCTAAGTAGGAATTACAAGTAAGAGCTTTTACAAAGATACAACTCAACTAAAGACATACAATAACTTGATATGGGGAACTGGTCCGTAGTAGTGTTGTTCTTTGTTCTTGATGCACTTGAGAATTGTTCTCTTGATGATCAATCACTATTGAAGTGCTTTAACAAAGGTATAACACAACTAAGGACATGTAATAACTTCAATACATGAAACTGGTCCTTGGTTATGTTGTTCTTCGTTCTTGATGCCCTTGAGAATCACTTGTTGGATTGACACAGACTTGAGAAAATGCTTGATGAGTTCTTGAATGTGCAAGTGATTTGTTTTTGCCTTGATTGATGTTAATAATTCATTTGTGACATCACTTGAATGATGTAAGCAAGTTAAGTAAAGGGCATTCCCCATAAAGTTGACTGATGCACTGTAGCGTGTGCAGGTAGCAACTTTACAGCTGTAAAGATTTGACTTGTATAGTCACCACGAGAACTGGTAGCTATCTGTTCCCTCTACTGTTCCTTTGACTCTGAAGAGTTGAATAGTGTTCCCAACTGGAGACTTGGTGATCTTGAGTTCTTGAGGATATGTAACAGGTTCCGTATCTGATTCTTTAACAGTAAGTTTGTTAGATCATCAAAACATAACAAGGATACACATATAACCAATCAATTTACCCCTTTTTGATGATGACAAACTTATAATTCAAGTTCCCCCTAAGAA